GCTAAATGTTGTAAAATGAAGAAGATATAGTCCTGTGAAGTTCGCAAATTTTGTATATATTTGTATTACGCGCGTTAAAAATAACCACTTTCGGCTCAAAAATGGTTATTTTCCCCGCGCGTAATGCAAATATATACAAAAATTGCGAACTTCACAAGGCTATATTTTGCTCATTTTACAACAATTCGCAACCAAACTTTGCAATTTTACTCATTTTAAGATGCTTTTTCCAGCTATGGTAATGGATTTCGTTCTTCTTGTCTAAATCAAAATTTCGTCTACAGCTGGAATCATCCATTAATGTCCGCACGGTTGATTCGCTTTAAATTAAAAATATTTAAACAGAAGACAAAATATGCTAGTAGATCAGTTGTTTAATGCATGGACCAAGTTCCATTGTGGTTACAAGAACAGCTGAATACGTTGACATTTTAATGCTTCTGGCATCAGGTACCAAGTTCCGTTGTGGTTATAAGAACAGTTAAATACTTTAAAAATGCTGTGCTGAGTGGTTATATTACTACCTTAAAAAACAGCAGAAACTCGACGTTTCGAGCGAAGGCCCTTCGTCGAAACGTCGAGTTTCTGCTTTTTTTTTAGGTAGTAATATAACCACTCAGCACAGCATTTTCACATTGGTACTACCTACACTGGTACAGACAGTTTCAGTTAAATACTTTGACATTTTAATGCTTCTGGTCATGATATGATTCAACATTTCAACTACAATTTATCCGACGCAGAACGAGTCGTTCAGATGCGCAGTCAACACTCTGAATTGGTTTATTGCCACCACTAATGTTAACGCAACGATAGGCTTAGCCTTAAGTGTCAACTGAGTAATAATGCAAGCACCTTTACCAGTTATCCCCGACCGTTTACATATTTAAAGGGTCTTGTTAGAAATAATGTTCGTTTAATAATTAGACGTTCATTCGTGTATTTCATATTGTACATGTTTAATTGGGTATTATGCTAGATTCATATTTCGAGCTTTCTTGTGATTCAGGGTCACTCGGTTGGTTACCAGCCATTTCTCTCATCCTTCTTCCTCTACCTATTTATTACATTGCATGGCTGAGTGAAATTAACTGCAATCTTTGGACAACGTCTGAACAACAACAAAACAATAAAAATCATGAACGACGACGACGACAACGACAACAACCATAGCAGCGACAACAACAGCTGCAACAACAACAAACAAAAACAACAGCAACAACAATAAAAATCATTGACAACAACAACAACCAACAACAACCAACAACAACAACCAACAACAACAACCAACAACAACAACCAACAGCAACAACCAACAACAAAAACAACAAAAACAAAAACAGAACAACGAACAAAAACAACAACAACAATAAGAATCATTGACAACAACAACGACGAAGACAACAGCAGCGACAACAGCAACAACGACAGCAACAAAAACAACAGTAATGACGGCAGCAATAACAGCAATTACACGTACTCTACAACTGCAGGAACAACAGCAACTGTTCCAGCAGCAACAACAACAACAACAACCAACAACCAACAACAACAACAAAAACAGAACAACAAACAAAAACAACAACAATAAGTATCATTGACAACAACAACGACGAAGACAACAGCAGCGACAACAGCAACAACGACAGCAACAAAAACAACGTGATGACGGCAGCAATAACAGCAACTACACGTACTCTACAACCGCAGGAACAACAGCAACTGTTCCAGCAGCAACAACAACAACAACAACATCCAACAACCAACAACAACAACAACAACAACCAACAACAAAAACAGAACAACAAACAAAAACAACAACAACAATAAGAATCATTGACAACAACAACGACGAAGACCACAGCAGCGACAACAGCAACAACGACAGCAACAAAAACAACAGTAATGACGGCAGCAATAACAGCAATTACACGTACTCTACAACCGCAGGAACAACAGCAACTGTTTCTGCAGCAACAACAACAACAACAACAGCAACAACAACCAACAACAAAAACAAAAACAGAACAACAAACAAAAACAACAACAACAATAAGAATCATTGACAACAACAACGACGAAGACAACAGCAGCGACAATAGCAACAACGACAGCAACAAAAACAACAGTAATGACGGCAGCAATAACAGCAATTACACGTACTCTACAACCGCAGGAACAACAGCAACTGTTCCAGCAGCAACAACATCAACGACAACGACAATAATAACAAGAACAGCACTGGTATTCTACACGAACAACGTCCATAGCAACAGCCATAGCAACTACAACAACATGAACAATATCAACAGCAATACCTTTGCGCAAGTACAGGTACCCTCATCATAATTTCGAATATTCATCACAATCGTCAATTGAATCATTTTTCAAAATACTTCATTATATTTCTCGGAGTCGCGTCATTGGATGGTTTCATGATCACGCCAATATACTGATAATTTCATTCCGTTTTACAAATCGTTCCATGTCGTTGTACAGATCATATGTTGGACGTTGCTCAAGTCGTTTTAGATTTTCATGTGGCGGAAATCTTTTACGGTCGTGAGTCGTGACAGATCGTTGTTCTTTTAATATCATTCCATTCATAGTGTTCTCGTCCAAAAGGTTGCATACATTTAAGAAACTTACTTGAACCATTTTAGATCTGCCGCCACCACCTCCAGAGGCATTTGTGAATGAAGATGAACTACCGGCTGGACAGTCAAGATCTTTTAAACTGCTGCAAAGACATGTTGATGGTGGAGGTAAATATTCCATCTACTGTTAGTTCTATAGAACGAGATATCCAAAAATCTCGATATTTACCCTCATTATTAGCCATGACGTATGGGCCTGATATTTTCCGGGGAGGGGGGGGGGCACTTGCCCGAATTGTCAAATATTGGAATGAAATGACCAAAATTTAATGTATTTTGTGATATATTTGCCCAAATTTTCTTCATTTTTCCTAGCATTTGCCCGAATTTCCATGTTTTTTCAAGTTCTTTTCAAGTTCGGGGGGGGGGGGGGGGGGGGG